GTGAGTTTTTAATATATATTTATAGCGATGACAATTTATTAGTATATGCAACGATACATACTATTCAATTAAAAAATTAGAAATAAATGATATTTTTTCTTACAAATATTTAATTGCTCAATTCAAATTGTGTGACGGCTTGCTTAACTTTAACAAAACAAATGTTAACACTATCTCTGTAAATTTTTCAGTCATTGTTTTAGGAAATTTTCTCTGACAGCTTTCTTCTCAATACAATGGACATTTTTTTGTTCCGCGTTTCCAAAAATTATCATATATAAAGATACATTAGAAAATATTAATAACATAGCAAATGGGAACGCTGGACAAAAATAACAAATAAACTACAAATATATAAAAATGTTAAAGTTTGTTGAACGAAATTATTAGAAATAACAGCGAGTTCTTTCTTTTTATTTTTAAAACTTCTTATGATGTTTTTAGAATAAAGCAGAAACCTAAATACATCTTTTTGAGAAAGTAGGAAGTAGGAAGTATATCTTTCCGAGAAAATAAAAATGAAATTATTTACAAAAGTTATACATCAATTTATCGTTTCAACAATTCTACTTTATATTCACGTAACGTAATTTTGTTCATGGTGTTTATCGCAAAAGGGTCAGCTGCATTTCCTTCTCGACAATGCTTATTAATAATAATCATTAGCGCGGAAAAATGAGCATTTTCAGTACATTATTTTGGCTATCTCTTTATTGCACATAATTGCACGTCGGAAATTCGATCCAGGCGCATCCACGGCCTGTTATTTTACAATGGAGCACCGATGAAGCGAATTGTGGTAGAGAATAATAATTTGTGTACACAGTAATTGATAAATATATGTTTTTTCGATATTCGAAAATGAAGTGGTTTCGTAAAATAATCAAATTAGAAGACTGTCAGCAAATTATCGATCAATGGGCGATTTATGAATACCTATTCTACTCTGATCTCATTTTTAATTAGTTGGTCAAAGACCGAAAGACCTAAAGCGAGCGTTAGTACGTATCCGGTGACGAGGGAAATGACACGGCCTTACATCGAAGAGGGGGAAAGGTCTCGCGATATAAAGGGCGAGGGCAGTAAGACAGCAATCTACAGCTCGGTCCACCGAGAGCTGTAACACTGGTGGAATCGAACTTGTAATAAGGTACGTCTCGCCCACTCACCAGAACTCGATTGCTCTCCGGGGACGACGCTGCCGACTCCTGTCTTCTCTCTTCGCTTCCTTCTCCTCTTTCTCCTCCTTCTTCTCCTCTTCCTCCTCCTCGATAACCTTTCCGTACTACGTATTTTCCGGACTCACGTAAAGGGAAGAAGTTTGGGAAGTTACAAGGCCACTTCGTGTTACATTTTCCTGTTATCGCCATTTCCTTAAGGTTACACCGACGTGTCTTCGGAATTTCAATCTGCGTGCAAAACCAGGATTCTCTACCTTTCTCTCTCATTCTCGGCGGAATTATTCTTTCTCTGGAAGAGGATGCCGATCTCATTTGTCAAAAGTAGATTGGTATCCAGGAAATGGTACCTTCATTTTTTACGTCTTGTCTGTGCGAGTTTCGAGAAGTTATTGCGGCCAAATAAACCAACGGCACCTGAGAAATATCTGTAACTGCAAAACTTTTCAGGAAAATAATAGTTTTCTCTCGATAAATCTTGTTTATTATCATTTATAACAAATTAAATATTAAATAAATAGAAAGTTACATGAGTTGTAATATTTTTTGAAATAAACTATTGATAAAATAACATTGGAAAATGATTGCAACTGAAAATGTTCAAATAATACTTTTTATTAATGCTATTATATAGATGATAAATATTTGTATCTGCTCTGTACATATTTACTATACTTGTGGAAATTCGAATATCTCAAAGTTTATTAAGAAAAATGTAATATAAAAGTCATCGGAGAAAAAAATGAGAATTTATCGTGCGTAAAATCAACTCACACGTAAACGACAGTAAAATAACAAGCGTTTTGTATAATATTCGCTTATCTCTCGTGCTCGACGTTACTGGTAATGCACCGTACGATAATTATATTAATTTATATAGAATCAATATTAAACACATCCGGGCAATGTATTTTTAATGAAGTAAATACGCGGATGCATAATGCGCCGTGTGCTGAATATTACATATCGCAGGAAATAGATACTCGTAATGCAACGATACACGTGAAACCCGCAAAACTGCATTGCGACCCGCGATAATTATTCGAGATAATGAGGGAAATTCATGATTGCCAGTTTGCGAGAGTCTCCGCGTTAAAAAAAGGAGGAATGTATTCATTAGCGAATACATTTCAACGAACGAACTATCGTTTTTCTTGCAAGAAGAATGATTTCACCCATTGTGACTCAAGAATTAAGAGAGAAAGAATACACGTTGTTGAACAGGAGTAAAAAAACTTACGAATTAAAAATAAGAAAACGATTGAAAGAAGCAGGCAAATGCAAGAAAAAAAGGAAGCCTTACGTATTTTTCTCACGTAGTGATCGGAATGGAGAAATCTCGTTCTTGATCGAAGCCATTGTCGCTTGACGGCGATGCGAGAATTCGCAACATCGAACGAAAGACTCAGGCCGATTCGACTGTCGAGAATACATCAGTATAACGCCCATAACAAAGACTGCAGCATTAAGGAATAATGAAAGGATATGCACTTTGCGAGAGAAGAAGGTAGAGAGGCATAAGTAACGAAGAATGGTTCCTTGTCTTACGCCATGACGCCTCTTGCGTTTTCATTAAAAGCCCGCTCGTCCCCTCGTTCTTGTTTTCCGCTGTCGTCAACCCCCTCGTAAAAAGCGTGCCGTCCCTCGAAAAACAAAAGTCGCAACAAATGTCAGCTAAGACACTCGATTCCCTTGGCATTTTTCCGCGACTTTCTCGCCACAGCAACGCGATCGTCGCGCGAATTTCATTAAAATTTTATTACATAGCAAGACGAGAAGACGAAACCGGAACGTGACGAGCATTATTACTACGTGCTTAACATTTGGCATTCAGCTACTAACTAATGCTAAATACTAATCAGATTTACATTAATATTTTTGTTTGTTCGTAAATATCAAAACATCAATTGTTTCATTTTGTCTCATTGTTTAATTTATTTTGTATCTTTTCATGTATTAAATGCTTCAAAAATTATAATAGAATTCTTCAGTCGTTGCAAACTTCAATATAGATGCTGATGTAGTTTGCTATTTTACTCTGGGAGAGGAGAAATTCTTGTCAAATTTAATTAGAGATTATCAAAGTGTAAATATTATGTACAAAAAATACATGTAATGTATTTGACATGTATCTATACAACATGTATATCTGGAAAACGCATTTATTGAGTACATACGAGAGTTCATACAGTTACTCAAACGTCGTGAGAAGAATATCGCTCGCTATTTTAATGCTGCAGGCTATCGATAGTTGTTCCTGCGTGAGAGAGTGGGAAGGAGCAAACTCGTGGAACAACGAAGAGGGTAAGGATAATTCCTATTGTTTCTCCTGTCCCATAAATCCTACTAGCTCTTCCTATGCCTTTCCAGAACTTCGCTCGCGCTTCAACCATATACAGAACCATCCGCTCCCCGCCCCGCCATTTTCCACCGTCCTCTCGTCGTCTCTCGCAGCAACATGCTCCGTAAATCTCTGACCAGCTGTGCTTTACGACACGTACGCGATTCTCCTAAGGATACAAGAGATCTTATTCGTCATTCGACTGGCATCATTTGGAACCGCTTAAAAATCAATCTTACTGTCACCTTCCTTTGATGAATAAATCTCATCTCTTCGATCATCAATTTGTAACATTGTTACTATTTATTTATTATTTTGGAAAAAACTACTTATAAATAGAATTGACATAAATATTTTATCAAAATGATATGATTCTTATCTTTAAATGATTTGATTCTTATCTTTAATGTAAGAAATTAATAATTTTTTTGCGCCAAACTATCAGCTATAATACTGATGAATATAGTATTGATAATAATTTATCACAATATTGTGCGATTAACTCATATAATGATCATACTATAGCCACATAATATTAATTTTACATGCAATTAATAATTTATGTATTTGTAGTATAACCATCGTGTAAATTAATCATGTCAATATCATAAGTTCATCAAATGATCAGAATTATTTTTAAGAAGCTTCATATCGAAATGTTTATTCAATTTTCGAAAACAGATAAGCTAGTAAATGATTAAACTGAAGAAGATATTAATTTAATGCATCTATGTAGATCCACTCTCTTTTTATCCGCAAATAAATATTTACTATTAATAGGAAATGATTTGTCAAAAGTATTTGATAATTGGTATACATACAATTTTTCTTCCTATTCGTCACATTGAGATGAGGTTTCCGCAAAATATCTTTTAGATATGTATCGTACGACATTTCCATAACGGCGTTTACGATTCTTGAAGCTTTAATAGGAGTGCTTTGCACCCCTAACACACCAAGTGGTTCACTATGAGGTCTTATATCAAATATAGGTTACTTCGATCGTCAGTAAGCCGCTTAATTTATGACAGCGGCTTCAGTAAATAAGACGCTTTACTGTAAAGCTGCACGTTTACTATACTCAACTTATCCGGCAATATAATTCTGATTTAATCTTGTCGTAAAACTACTAAATCAAGCTTGAATTTTAATTACACGATTTTACAATGGTCCGATCGATCTGAAAGAATTTTAATAGAAATATATAAATTTATTAATGCTAATAGACAAGTGAAATAAAGTTGATAATAATTATAATAATTGTATAAAAATAGTTGTATAAAAATATAATATTCTTTGAATTAAATTATTGAATCAAATTCATATCAATATAATTTAATTAATATTATATTCAACTAATAAATTAAATTAAATATAACTGTGTAATATAATTAGATTAAATCTCAAATGGAATACTCTTTATCTGACTTTTTATTGAAATATTTTTTATTTGACTAAGCCATTCCATTGTGTTTTTTCAGATCGAAGATGCTATGCTGATGTTCGACAAGCAAACTAACAGGCATAGAGGTAAGTACATTTTCTTTTCTTTATTTCTTTTTTTTTTATTATTATACATGATTATGAAAAAATTGCTGCAATTTTGTGGCGTGCAAACGTACCATAGAAATATGTTCGAAACTATTCTATTTAACGAGTCAATAATGTCGCCATTCCGCCGGCGGGGTAATTAACGAGCCGAGTTGAGGCTATAATTAGTAATCACGATAAATCGCGAGCCGCAGTAAATACGGGGAAAGATAAATAACATAAATTTCGGAATATGTGCTGTCTACGCAAATCGTGACGGTATTTTGCGAATTCATGGCACGTGGATCGATAATCGCAAAGAACTTATCTCGAAATATACATAAAAGAATGCATTTAAAACAAAATAAAAAAAGGACTATTGAAAAGCGATTCTTATTTCGTTTAAAGCTTTAAAAGATTAATCAATATGAATATTGTATATGTAGATTTTTATTATGATCCTATAATATATCTTTGAATCTATATATTTATATTAAATATAACAGTATATTTTTGTATGAAAAATAAAAAGCACAGTCAGTTGAGCGAATACGAGAAATTTAACAAAATAATTTATAATAATTTGTAATAAAATACTTCTATGGTTCTACATAGACAGTATTACATAGACAATAATTAATGTAAAACAAATATCATTTTTGCGAAAAGTTGATTTTTAATCGTATAATAAATTGCACAATTTATTAGTTTATTAATGCCTATCTAGTCTAATGGAATCATTTTCGTCACAGTGTTTATATTAATGTTTATAAGTATATCACAGAATTTTAATTGCTGTCTCTCAAGTATTTGATCGATTCATTTAATATTCTTCATTTCCATTTTATTTCTGCGTCCGTTATTTACATTTCTCATATATATTCTTCGCATTTTTAGAAAAATTTAATATCGAATTGAAAAGTCATCAGGATTAAGAGCTCTCGATTTCAAATAAAATGTAGGCGCCCAAGAAATTTTTACGCGGCACTTTGCTAACGCGGTAGAGATGAGGAAGAGGAACGGGATGGAAATGTTATTGAGATCGCACGAGGTGCGCATGCCCCATTGAAAATCGACTGGGCAGGGAAGAAGGGTGGAGATCGAGAGGTCGCGATGAATGAAATATCGTGGCGGCCGCGATAATATATAGGGCAGCTCTCGACTCTCAGCCCTGCTTCGCTGTCGAGAGCATAGCGGGTTTGCGATCGGCGCGGGTCTGGATCCATTCACGTCGCCACTTCAATAAGGTCGATAATCGTCAGCGATCGTCGGTACCCCACCTTGACCAATAACGTCGGGAGAAGTCTCTCTCTCTCTCTCCCTCTCTCTCCTCTGTACTCTCTCTCTCTCTCTCTCTCTCTCTCTCTCTCTCTCTCTATCTATCTTTTTTATCGGTATCTACCACCTTTATAGCTCGGTCCTAGAGCGGAGGCAAGCGTCTGCTCGGGCTCCGATGATAGATTCTAATATCGCTTATGAAAAATAGGGGCAAATGGGATATGAGAGCTAGCTCCCTTCAGTACCACGCGGGGTTCTTCCTATCCCGGCTAAGTTGCTGAAGAGGTTCAGGGGGGGATGAACGCTGAAGACGCGTCGTACATCGCGCATCAGGCGAATAGCGAGGTAGGAGTAGCTGAAATAGCGACGCGCGGATCGGCACTGGCGGATGAAGGGGTAGAGGAAGAAGGGTGAATGGAAGTGGAAGTGAGATAGGGGGCTCTTTCAAAGCCGCACGTAATCTCTCTCGTGATGACATCCAATATCGTCCCCGTACGACGAGAGTCTGCGAACCTCAAACCTCGAACTCTCGGCTGCTACTGCTCCTGTCGCTGTTATTTCTGCTGCTGCTGTTGCTGCCGCAACTGCTCGCCGGCAGATTCCGTGATATGGCACTTCCGCACCCGGTACCTGACCCCTAAGGGGATTATTCTTGGATTCTCTCGCTAGACATACCGTGAGAAATTTCAAACAAAATATGCATGGAAGTAACAAAAACATTTATTACATCATTTTTAATATTCCTTGATCGGTCATGCACTCGACTTTGAGTCGAGAACTCACACACTATAGTACATGTATATATCTTTCATGCTTTTCTTCAAATATTTTCTAAAGTCACCTTACATTTTTGCCATTTTTTTATTTTAAACCATGTATTTTTTCAATATATTTATCTTACGATTTGAATAATTACACACAAAATTATAACTGTCTACGACTATTTTGTAACAATTAAAATAGTTCTTTGAATAAAAAATTAATAAAAATTGATCTTATTAATATATCGAGCTTGATGTTTATAAATTAGTATCTTAAATTGTAGACAATACAAATACAATACATTTTTATAATATGTCTGAATTATGTCTGAATTTTTCTCTGTTCTCAAGACTTAATTTTAAAATTAATTGCAATCTCTGCATATTTGAAAATAAGCTTGATTGATTTGAATAATTATTTATAAGTTTTTACGAGTTTTTTGTGTCTTTCCAAAAAAATTATTAATTATGCACATAACACATTTTTTACAATATCGGTAATCTCCTACTCAGTTTCCTCAGTGATTGTAATGCTTTCTTCAAGTACACTCGATTTCGATCGACGCGGCATGTTTTCTCGAACGTCGCCATCGAATTACAAGGAGATCCTCAGACAATCTTCTGGGAGGTCTCTTTACGCTCAAATCCCCGAAGAGGCAGTCGGCTGGCGGCCGTCTTACCCCTCTACCACTCCCCCCTTACCACGTTGTGGAGGGAGAAAAGAGGACTCCACTGAGAACAGCCCGGCAAGCGTTTCCGGACAATTTCGAATCCCGATGGCTCCCGCAGCGAGCTATGATTTCCACGTGGATGGGCAGGCTGCGATTGCAGCAAAGGCGAGCTTTCTCTCCTTTCTCCCCTTCTCTGTCTCTCTCTCTCTC